CGCTCCCCGAGCCACATGGTGGGCTGGAGGAGGAGCCGTTGCCCAGGCAACAGCTGAGAGCATCCTTCACCCCTGAAAATCGTGTACTGCTGCCACATCCCCATGGCTCAGGGCAGTGCCCAGGACCCCCAGCACCTACCCAGAGCTTGCCGTGTCTGTGGGGTCCAGACCCACCAGTTCCAGCTCTGGCCATACACCAGCACCCCCTCACCCACCCTGTGTTCCCCCCCCAGCAAGGACAACCACAGGGTTGAAGCACTCCCTGAATGCTGGGGGTTAAAAAATGCTGGGCAGGGTGTAGGGTACAGGCAGAGCCCCTTCCATACTCTTCTCACGGCTCAGCCATGAGCTGCCCACACCTGGCCCTGCCTGCACACACATTGACCCTGTGACAGACGCCACTAACACGTTGGTGACCCCAGGACCTCAGTGCTTGGGGTGCCAGAGCCCAGGCAGTGCTGGCACAAGCATCCCTGGCCAGTGCAGTGGGACCTGCAATTCCCATCCCCCCAGCTCTGCCTTCCTTCTTACCAAGGCTGCAGAAAATTCCTGGATTTTACCCCAAGATGCACCCTCTGAGTGTGAGAACTCCTCCTCAGCCTGCTCCCATAGCAACTGTTCCCTTAGCTACCCAGCCGCACTTGCTATTCTCATCCCGTGCAGCTGTGTGCGGCCCCCCCACGCTGCCGGCGCTGCTGCTGGCCCTAGACCCCCAACCCACCCTGCACCCACCCTGACCAGGCTGCCCCTCTTGGTGACTGTCGTGACCCTAATCCCGCTCACATCATGTCCCCGATTCCCAGGGGCTGCCCCTTGGGCAGTGCACACAGTGGCACAAGATCCCCCTCTGCAAGGTGTTCCCCAAAGCAGGGGGTCCACCTGGAGGGGAGCAGGACTCTGTCCCCAGCCCCACAGCACACCCCTGACAGCTCAGGAGGGCAGACATGTCCCAAACGGAACCCCACATCAGCCACAAGGAGCCAAACAGCACAAGGCCTTGTACCTGCCATGTCCCTGCACTGACCCAAACCACCCAGCTGAAGGCACCAAGAGACAGCAGCATCAGCATTGCCCACCAGAGCCCAGAACAGGGGTCCCTGCTCCTCTGGTCCTGACAGCTACCAAACCAGCACAGCCTGGAACAGGGTCCCCGTGACGCAACAGCAACACAAGGCACAGTGAATCTTATGCTTAACAAAAGGTTAAAAATTTAAATACTTTCCAAACTTCAGTGCAAGGCAAGCAAATGATACCACAGGTCCAAGTGGGTGCTCAGCCCCCCCGGGGGGCCTGGCTCAGAAGGAGCACGAGGCAGCAGCACACACACGTGTGCATACATACACACACAGAGATGAATTATTGCTCAGGACACAGCTGGGATGAGTGTGCACAAGAGGGGACAGAACAAGCAGGATGGAGGTGGGCTGAGCCCCACACTGTGCCCCAGGGACATGCAGGGCTCCAGGCCCTCAGGCTCAGGAGCTGCACTGGCTCCCCAGGACCCCTGGGAAAGCACACCAAGCTGGTATGGAGTGCAGGTTTGCCCTGGCCCTGCTCACTCTTGGGTCACAGCTCACAGCATGACCCTGGGAAGGGACATTCCCTTTACCACAGCTTTGCTCCCCAAGAGCAGGATCCCTTACACGTCCTAAGCTGGGACTAGAGTCTGCCCAGCAGGCAGATGGCAGGTCCAGAGCTGTGATGGGCCATCCTGCACCACATGAGGGATCGGACCTACCCTTCAGACCTGCCTGAGCAGATGCCGTGTCCTGCAGTGCTGCAGGCAGCCTGCTGGCGGTCTGGAGAGGGGGCTGGGATCAGCTCCCTGGAGCTGGCAGCATGTGTGAGACGAGGCAGGAGGAAGCAGGCTCCGGCAGACAGGGAAGCAGGAAAGAGGCTCTGCTGCCAGGACGCAATGAGAGATGCTTTGGCACGCTGCTTCCCTGTGTCTTGGGGCTGAGCTATGGACTCCGCTGGAGCCAGGGACACCCCAGCATGGCCAGAAAGGTCCAAGAAAGATGCTTTGGACACCTCAAGGCACAGAAGGCCTCTGCCCACGACTCCCTGGTACAAAACTGGGACCGTCGCTCCCCCCATAGGAGGATATTTGTGCCTGTGACAGGATGGGGGCAGTGCAGGCCCCCACCTATAGATTAAAAACTGACATGTGATATGTACAGATCAACATATATAAATATACACCAAACCTGCAGTGCCGCTTTGGCACCGTGGAATGTGTCAGCAGAGCTGCTCCAGCCTGGCCTCGGCCCACGCTGGCGCAATCCCTCCCCCTCCCACCCTGGGCCTGGGAGGGGAGCAGCAGTGGCACAACCCCAAGCAGCAGATTCTGAAGTGTCCAGGTCTACCCTGGGGACTGGGGCTTGTCCCCAGCCAGAGGCACCTTGGCCCAAGCCACGTGCTGCTGCCAGTTCTGGAGCCATCCTCACAGTCTTCAAATATAGAGGTGTAAAGCTGTAAACAAATCCACCTTGCGGGGCCACTGCCACCTTGTCCTTCAGGCTGGGCTGCTGTTCTGCTGGGCACCGGGATAGGCAAGGGGGTCCTGGGGGCTGGAGAACAACTTGTGCTCTACAGCCGGGTGGGCTCTTCCTCACTGTCGCTGCAGTTTCCACAACAGTCCTGAAGTCAGAAGGGCAAGGAGAGGGAGGAGGGAGAGAGGAGCACAGCAAGCAGAGGGTGAGCACGATCACACAACCCAGCTTGCAGCTGCCCTCTGGCAGGGAAGGGCCAGGGGCCCCCCTGGCCTGTGCATGGGCAAGCTACGTAGAGGCAACAAGGAGCTGGAGGAGACCCTCAGTCTGCAGAGAAACAGTCAAGCTGCAGCTGGGGGTTCAGCCCCCGGCAGACAGACTGGTGAGCACACTGCTGACTAGCTCAGAAGCTGGGATGAAGATGGGCTTTGCTCAGGGCTCAGCCAGCTGCAGAAGCAGCTGAAGCCCTTTTTGCTGGAACGGGAGGGAGCCTGAGCATGGGGAAATGCCAGACCCTTCACAGTTTCTCAACCCTTCTGTGTGTCCTGGACATCCAAGGAGAGGAGTGAACGGAACTTCCCAAAGCCCCCTGGGAGCAGAGCTCCCAGCAGCGGCAGGGCAAGGGAAGCTTTGGCTCAAACTGAGGTCAAGGCCTCCCTCATGAAGGCAGCGAGAGCAGGGAAGCAGGATTAGTGGCTCAGGGGGCAGTTAGAACAAGAAGCAGCTTGTGCTCTGCTGGGGGGAGGGGATAGGCATTGAAGGACAACACTCCTCTTTCCCAGATCTTGCCATGTCCACGGGCCACCGGGTATTTCCCTGAGCAGAGCAGCCAGGAGAGACTGCTCACCTCTGGAAAGAGAAAACATGTGGCAAATCACAGCTCCATCCCTGCTACAGGCAGCTGCCTATTCTCTGGCAGGTCCTGCCTGCCTCAGGAAGGGCTGGGTAACCCAACCCAGAGCGGGCTCTGGCCCCGGC